ATATCATTATTGAGGAGTCGCCTGTGGGCGACCGCGCTGCTGATGGTCAGATCGAGAATGCAGTGAAGATTGTCAAGGGTCAGGTCCGTATTCTTTTGTTGGCGTTGCAGTCGAGTTGGGGCAAGCGTCGTCCCTTCGCACACCCGCGCGCGCTTTGACCCATCAGACGCGCGGCGTCAGTCATTCACCGATTTCGAGTTGGAGCTGACGGTCGAGCTGGAGAGCAGCATCGCGCAGGGCGTACATGGGAGCGCGTGAGTGTAGTCTATGGCGAGCGCGTCAAGGACAAGCAGCTAGTGGTTGACCAGAAATAGCATGATTTGGAGTCGAGGTTCATTGGCGGGTTCTACATCGGACATTGTAGTCGAAGTGGAACAGCCCTGCTGATCACGAAGAGCGGCGTTCAGCGAGCAACTGGGCTGGTGCCTCGAGTCCCGGTGGAGAGATGGAGATATGGTCCAGATGTACTCGAGCTTCAGGGTGAACCCTAGACTTGGCAGCGTGGACGGGGAGAGCAAGCTGCTGCGGCTGTCCCCCCGCCAGCTGAGGCTGTCCGACCTGTGGTCCGTCCTGCGGGTGTCCAGGCGCCTCGGGCGCCGCCGCCGCAGGCGAGACCCTTGGTCGCGAGGGGTTTCTACGTGACGAGGGCCATCCTTGCGGAGGTTGGCTACGCCGCAGGGTGCAGATGCCGCGGCGAACTGCGAGTGCATGGGCAGCGTGGAGCGACAGGCCTCAGCCACGATGCTGGCTGTAGGTCGCGGGTGCTGGATGATCTGGTCAATCTTGATGGCGAGAAGGCCGTCGACTCCCTGGCCAAGAGGGCCCGCCTGGCGGGCCAAGACGCGGGGCCCGCGGCTGCTGCCGCGAGGCCATCTGGAGCCGAGCAGGGCGATGCCTCTGCCGCGCCTCCCGCGCCAGCAGGAGGAGGAGGAGGGGGGGGGGGGGAGGGGGGGGGGGAGGAGGGGGAGGGGGAGGAGGAGGAGGAGGGGGCGGGGGGGGCGCAGGTGCTTCTCTCGCCGGGCAGCCCGGATCATCGGGCGAACTGGCTTCGGGCGTGGCGATTGAAATCGAGAGATCTTTGGCGGTGATGCGAGCTGCGCTGCTGTGCGAGGTGCTGAGGGCGAGCCGGCTTCCAAGGCGCCGGCGTCTGCGCATCGTGACCCTGGAGCGCCTGCCAGAGTTCGAGCTCGCGGTGCGGAGATCGAGAGTGGACTTGGCGAGTCCAGAGGAGCGGCTGCTTCTCGAGAGTTAGGCAAAAACCTAGAGATCCTCGGCGGGCCCAGCTGCTGGGCCTTCGAGTTCCGCAGACGGGGCCATGGGCGTGGGCGGCCTAGGGGCGATCGGGAGACCCAGCTGGAGCTGCAGTCGTCGGCGATCAGTGAGCTGTCCAATCCAGGGTGCTTCAGCGAGCTGGTGCCCGCCTTCGGACTGGTACCCAGAATTGCTGCAAACCTCGAGCTCTTGAATGAAGGCGGCGAGCCGTATGGCTTGAGTCGCGGAAGCAATCGGTTGGCGTTTCAGCGCGACGTTGATTTTCAGGATCAGCTCCTACTATGCTCGGCTCCTCCGAGCACGAAGTTTCCGAGGTTACGGGCTCTCAGTCGAGGCAGCCGCGTTGGCGAGGGGGGGCATCGGCGTCGGGTAAAACAGGGCGCAGAGTTATTGCATTTTGGAATCCAGTGGTGTCGGAGGAAATTTGATAGGAATCGTTGTTTCCTGCGTGAAGATCCTTGGGCTTAGTTCTTTGGAAGGGTCCAGGAGTAGCTGCGTTGGCTTCCCTTCCAGGTGTGCATGCTGTTCGGGGAGATATGTGTTCCTGGGGCCTGAAGGCTAAGAACGACAAGGGGGATCTGGGGCCCGTGATGAAGAGCGCGGGCCGGATGCCCCACGGCTGAATTCCTAAGCCGTCGGTGCAACGGGAAACGCGCGCATGCGCAGCTCATGGGCGTGGGCGAGGTCAGGGGAGCTAAGATTCATGCGATGAAGCTCAAGAAGGGTATCCATGGAGTTCTCAGGCAGGAGCTCGTTCGCATCGGTGAGTTGAATAGCGCGACCCTAGCAGGCCCTGTCCCGGATGAGGAGATTGGGTTCTGGATGCCAGATGCGCCGCCGGACGGCGTGGCCGAGAGCGGTTTCTGGCGCGATGTTAACGGAGGTCGGCTAGATCCTAAGGTCATGAAGGAAACGAGGCAGGTTGAGATGTACTGGATTAGCAGGCAATCCGTCTACGCAGTGCGCGACGAGTCCGAGTGCTATCAGGCGACGGGGAGGGGCCGATCAACGCGGGCTGTGTCGACGCGAACAAAGGGGATTTTGAGCTGGCTCGATGTCGTTCGAGGTTTGTAGCAAAACAAGTGAAGAGGGCCCAGCGGCCCGGCGAGCAGCTTAGCGCTAGTGAGTTGTTTAGCGGGACGCCCCCGCTCAAATCGACTAGGCCCCTGGTTGGCCTCTTGGTTTCGCAGAAGTTTTCGAAGCGGGGTTCGCCGTGGAAGCTTGGTTTTTGGGATGTCTCTCGGGCCCGCTTGTGCGGGGAGCCCAGAGTAACGTCTTCATGCGCCTGCCCCCCACGAGGGGGGGCTAGCTGGCAAGTGTGCTAGGCTCAGCAAGTGTCTGTGCGGCACCCAGGATGCTTCTCACATTTGGCAAGGAGATTATCACCCACCTGGCCGCGCTCATCTGCAGAGAGAGCGACGGCGGTCGAGGAGCGGCCCGCGGCGATGATTTTGTGGTTTTAGGAGATGATAACTTTAGTGAAGTAGATCTTTGTCTCGGGCCCCGGTACGATATGAAATGCACTGGGGTCCAGGGGCTGGACTTTGGCGACCAGATGGAGGTCGTCTTTTTAGAATTGTGTTTTCAAGTTTCTAGAATCACCCCCTGGGGGTAGAGATATAAGGGGATAGGCGCCATGTAGATATCGTATTGCGTGATCTCGGTCTACGTCCAGATTTTAATGGCTTAGAGAGTCTTGCTGCCAAGCTTTCGTTTGAGGAGGCTAATATGTATAGGGAGGTGCTACCTGCGCTAGACTTTGGAGGGATTCGTTCGCATCGGTCTTTGGTCACGCGTGCTGGGTACTTGAGTTTAGGTAGGCCTGTCTTGGCCGAGGCTACTAAGACTTTGTGCAGGTCTATGAAGTCTCCCAGTGCTGCCAACCAAGCGGATATGAAACGTCTTGGTAGGTATCTTGTGTGTTCCCGTTGTCTAGTCAGTCGTCTCGAGTCGCATCGTTTGCCCACCGAAGTGACAGTGATAGTAGACAGCGACCATGCCTGGTGCCCAGTCACCCGCAAATTAACTTCAGGAATCGTTTGGAAGTGTGGCCAACATGTGCTGACGGCAGCCAACTCTCTCCATATCATCATCAGTCTCAGCAGTGGCAAGGGTGAGTTCTATGCCATTGTGGGGGGTACTGCTACTGGCTTGCTGGTGCAATCTATAGACCAGGATATGCGAGTTTCCTTGGGTGTCTGCGTTCGCAATGAGGAAGATCTTCCGATGTTGGCTTCGGATGCCAGTGCTGCTCGGGCTTTTGTCGCAGCGCAAGGGACTTGGCAGGCAGAAGCACGTGCAGAGTAGGTTTCTTTGGGTCCAGAATACAGTTTCGAAACGTCGGATGCAAGTAATTAGGGTAGCTACTCATGAGAATGAAAGTGGTATGCTCACCAAGTGCGTGCCGGCACATGTGTTGCGCAAGCATCCGGCGAGCATGGGTTTTGAATTTAGATTCCTGGAGCAAGCTCTCCCCGCCTTCCAGTCCAGGTTGGCCGATGCCACTTTCCACCTTCACCGCAGTTTCGTCTGCGCATCGCCCCTCCCCGCCATCCAGGCCGAGATGGTTATGGCTGGTGCTGGCTGCGAGGCTACGGGTCTTTGAGAGCTCGGCCTGGCGTAGACGCGCCCGTTCCGGTGCTGGCATTCGACTTTCTACACCCCGTCGCTGCGCGCGGGGCCGCGACGCCAGAAAAGTGAATGTGTGTGTGTGTGTGTGTGTGCGAGTCGGAGTGTACGTGCGTGCGCGTTCGTGTGAGAGATCCGCCTGGCCGTCCGCTGCTTCGACGACGAGGTCTCTTTGTGCGGCATGGTCGGCTTCTGCGTCGCGCCGGTCTCTGGTGCTAGAGGCCGCCTGCGCGCCTTCCCCGCTTCTTCGGCGGCCGCCCTCTGGTTTTCCATCTGTTCGAGCGTGCTCGCGCCTGGCACGGCCCGCCAGTGCCGACCACGCCTGCTCTCGGTGGCTTTTGCCGAGGGGCGCCGTGGGGGAGGGAGACAGAGAGGGACGGAGGGAGGGAGGGAGGGAGAGAGAGAGACAGAGATACATCAAGAAAAACATTTAGAAATTCGGCGGTCGAGATGTTTGGATGTGCTGTGTGGTCGGCGAAGAGGTGCGAGAATGTGTGTGTGTGTGTATGTGCGTGTGTGTGTGTGTGTGGGTGTGCGTGTGTGTGTGTGTGTGTGTGTGTGTGTTTGTGTGTGTTTTTGTGTGTGTGTGTGCGTGTGAGTGTGAGTGTGCGCGGGGTGCCTTTGATTGGGCCTCGAAGAATCGCTCTTGATAGGGGCTGGAAGAGTCGCTGTTGGACTTCATGAGCGCGTGTCGGAGGAACTCCTTTACGTGTGTGTGTGTGTGTGTGTGTTTGTGCGGAGTACGTGTCCTCACTAATTTGTATGGGTTCGTTTTTTCTCCGTGCGCCAGCTTCCGGACCTATTTTTCCTCACCTGCGTCCCGAGCACCCATCGAGCGACGCTGGGAAGTGAACAATCTCTGCGTGCTCCGCTCCGGCACTCGCTGCGTTGGATCAGTGGGCCGGGAAACAAACAATTGTGTTTGTATGTGTGCGTTTGCAGTTGACCGTCTGCGCGGTTTGTGCAGTGTGCTATCGACAATGTTCGATCGCAGTTGGCGCTTCCATTTGCCGTCCGCGGTTGCGGTTCATCTGCGCCGCCGATTTGGAACTCTGTGTGTCTGTGTGAGCATGGAGTGCAGCCCGTTCCCGCGCGACTAGGCGAGATTCGGTTCGATTCCTTCAAGGAGTTCTTCGGGAGGGTGTCGAACCCCGACGACCTGAAAATGCTGCTGTCGGCCGCGTCGCGGAAGTGCCGCGGGGGCTGGGGAGGGGTGGCGGCGGTTGCGGAACAGTTGATGGTCTGTGAAAGCTGCTCGGCACAACCGGCGACCAGTGGGCGCACGAACAGCTATCAAATGGCCTTCGGCCCATCCCGCAGCCGTGCCTGGGCTGCGAGTGTGAAACCAATTGGATATTCATTCGGATCTCGTGGGGGGCTTGTCGGGGGCCTCTCGGGCCTCTCGGGCCTCTCTGGGGGCTCTCTTGGAGGCCCTGTTGGGCTGTTTCGGGGCGGTCTTGGAGGGCTATAAGCTGTCAGGGAGCGTCGGGAAGCCGAAAAGGCGAGAACGCCCAAAACCGTCAAAAACCGGAGGCGAGTCAATGACTCGTCCTCTTGGGGCCCACTTCGGAGGCCTCTTGGAGGCCTCTTGGGGCGTCATGGGGGCCTTTTGGGCCGCCAGGGGGCCAATTTGAGCGTTTTGGAGCGATCGTTCGGTGATTCGGGGCCCTCTTGGACCGTCTTTGGGTGTTCTTGTGGCCCTCTTGGCCCATCTTGGGGCCAGTCAGAGCGCGGAAACTTGCAGGATCCTTCAGGGCCAGGGTCGCTGCGTTGACCTGGGTGTGGGTGCAGGACCCTGCAGGATCCTGCAGGAACTTGCAGGATCCTGCAAAGCCTGACTGTCCCGGGTCTGTCTGGGCCCAGGCCAGTAGATCCCCGAAGAGGTGGGATGAATATTGCTGTTCCTTGTTTTTCCCAACCGTCCTGTGGTAATGGGTTTGCGTTTTGAAGAGAGCGCCCCGCGTCCACTCCTTCCTTCCGTTGCCCCCGCCTCCCTCCTCCTTCCTTGCCTGTGCTCCCTGCTTGTCCACCTCGGCGCATTCTCACACGCTTCGTGGTCCCATCGGGGAAGTCCACCGAAGGCCCCAGCGGCAGGGCCCGCATGCGTCCCACGGCGCATTTCGGCACACCCCTCACACGTTTCGTGGACCTATGGCATGCGTCCCAGGACCAATTTCGCCCCCCCTCCTCACGCTTCGTGACCCCACAGCTCCATCAGAGGCCCCGGTTGCAGTGCCGGCATGCGTCCCAGGCTTCTGCCGTCACACCACTGACGCGTCTCGTGGCCCCGCAGGGAGGGCCAGCGCAGGCCCCAGAGGTAAGCGCCCGCATGCGTCCCCAGGCGCATTTCGGCAAACCCGTGACGCGCTTCGTGGCCCCATGGGGAAGTCCACCGAAGGCCCCAGCGCTTTTTCGGCACACCCCTCACACGTTTCGTGACCCCGCAGGGAGTTTCACCGTAGACCCCAGCGGCAGGGCCCGCATGCGTCCTCAGGCGCATTTCGGCACACCCCTCAGACATTTTATGGCCCCATATGGAGCTCCATCGAAGGCCCCATCGGCAGGGCCCGAATGCGTCCCCAGGCCCATGCCGGCGCACCCCTCACACGCTTCGTTTTCCCACCGGGAGGCCCCAGCGGCAGGATCGGCATGCGTCCCCAGGCCCATTTCGGCACACCTCTCACGCGTTTTGTGCCCACATCTGGAGCTCTTCCTCCTTCGTCCGGCTTGCCTTGCTGTTTCCACACCTGCACATGGTTCGGCCCCCCCAGGATTTGTTTTGGCCTCGGTGGCGGGCCCTCATCGCCATGACCAGATTCGCCGAGTTGCCGTCGTCGACGATGACGACGAAGATGTAGATGCGGACGATGATGACGGTGATGATGACGATGGCGATGATTATGATGACGGGGTTGTTTGGCGACGATTGTGACGATGTCGATGGTGAAAATGCTAATGATGGTGACGTTGGTGATATTGCCAGTGATGAATCGCCTCGCCATGGCGATGCTGACAAGCACAATACTAAAACTGATGATGGTGCTGCTGATGCTGATGCTGATGCTGATGATGAGGATGGCAATGATGTTGATGATGATGTTGTTGATGATGATGATGATGATGATGATGATGATGATGATGATGTCGACGACGACGATTACGACCATGATGCTGATGATGATGATGATGAGGATGACGATGCTGATGGTGATGATGATGATGATGCTGATGCTGATGCTGATTCTGATGTTGCTGATGATGATGAGTATGATGATGCTGATGATGATGATGGTGGCTATGGCGATGATGATGCTGATGATGATGATGATGATGAGTGTGATCATGAGTGTGATGATGAGTGTGATGATTATGCTGCTGCTGCTGATGCTGATGATGATGATGATGATGATGATGATGCACTCGGTGTTGCTGATGACGATGATGGTGCCGACACTGTTTATGCCGCTGTTGTTGATGCTGATGATGCTGATGATTATGATGATGATACTGATGATGCTGATGCTGATGGCGCCGATGTGGGCGTTACTGTTGATGCTGATGTGAACTATACTGATGATGATCATGATGATGGTGATGATGATGATAATGATGATGATGCTGATGATGATGATGATGATGATGCTGCTGATGATGATGATGATGATGATGATGATGGTGATGGTGATGGTGATGATGATGCTGATAATGATGATGATGCTGATGATGATTGCGATGCTGATGATTATGATGCTGCTGTTGGTAACGATGATGATGATGTTGACGCTGACGATTGTGATGACGATGCTGATGATGATAACGACGATGATGAAGATGCTGATGATGCTGATGATGCTGATGCTGAAAATGATGATGATGACAATCTGACGTCGCTGGTGATGATAACGACGAGTGTGATGGTGCTGATGATGCTAATGGTGATTATGCTGTTGATGCTGATGCTGATGTTGATGCTGATGTTGGTAATGATGATGACGACGATGGTGATGATGCTGGTGATGATGGTGATGATGATCATGATGATGATGATGAGTTTGCTGATGGTTATGATGATGCTGATGATGATGCTGATGATGCTGATGATGATGGTGTTGGTGGTGATGACGATTCTGATGCTGATGATGCTGAGTATGATGATGCTGACGATGGTGCTGATGATGATTATGACGATGATGATGACGCTGATGCTGATGATGATGCTGATGATGCTGATGCTGATGCTGATGTTGCTTTTGATGATGGTTCTGGTGATGGTAATGCTGCTGGTGATTGTGCTTATGAAGCTGCTTATGGTGCGACTGCAGATGTCGATGGAGCTGGTGTGAGTTTCACTGTTGATACTGATGTGAATTATAACCATGATAATGCTTATGATGATGCGATGCTGCTGCTGCTGCTGATGATGATGATGATGATGATGATGATGATGATGATGACGGTGACGGTGATGGTGATGGCGATGGTGCTGCTGCTGCTGCGGCCGATGATGATGATGCTGATGATGATGATGATGATGATGATGATGATGATGATGACGATGCTGAGGATGATGCTGATGATGATGGTGATGATGGTGATTGTGATGGTGATGGTGATTGTGATGGTGCTGATGATGACAATGATGATGATGCTGATGCTGATGATGATGCTGATGATGCTGATGATGGTGATGCTGCTGATGATCGTGCTGATGCTGATGATGATGATGATGATGCTGATGCTGATGCTGATGATGATGTTGATGATGGTGATGGTGATGGTGATGATGATGATGATGATGATGATGATGATGATGATGATGATGCTGCTCCTGCTGCTGATGAGCATTATGATGCTGATGATTTTCGGGAGGAGAACGAGGAGGAGGATGAGGAGTAGAGCGGCTTAAAGGATGGTGGGGGATGAGGAGGAGGAGGAGGAGGAGGAAGAGGACGAAGAGGAGGAGGAGGAGGAGGAGGACGAGGAGGAGGAGGAGGAGGAAGAGGAGGAAGAGGAGGAGGAGGAGGAGGAGGAGGAGGAGGAGGAGGAGGAAAAGGACCAGAAAGATGACGACGACGAGGATGAAGGGCACGATGAGGAGGGTCTCGTCTCCTCCCTTTCCGCCTTCTCCTCGGGAGGTTTTTTGATTACAAGCAGATGGTGGACGGCGACCCTGCGTTCGCCAAGACCTATAGCATACCGCCGCTGGCCGCCCGCCTAGCCATCCACCCAAGAGGATTGGAGCAGGGGGTGGAACGGGGACAGGGAGGAGAAGAAGGGGAGTCGTTTCACCCCCCTGTGGGAGAGCGTGTTCTGTGGACGCTTGGAAAGGCGGGGCGGGGTTAGAACCAGGGGGTACTCCCCCCCTCCCCCCTGAGATGCAAGCGGGGGTGTTCGACCAGCCCACCCCGTCCCGTCAGGGGGTGTTCGAACTGGCCCCCCCCCCCCCCGAATTGCGGGGGGGGGTTAGAACTGGCCCCACCCTGCCTTCGCAGTGGCAACCGACGGCGACGAGCGCTGGCGCCGGCGCCAGCGCCGTCGGGCAACGACGGCGACAACGATTGAGCCTTAGTTGGATACTATCAAGATTAGGTCGAACCCTACAAAGGTTCTATTAGAATTGGATCGAACTTTGGCAGGATTTGACAAGAACTGGATCTAGCTGAGACAGGAGGATCCGGCTATTATATAAGCGTTTTATTAGAGTTGGATCGAGTCCGACTATGATGGCATCACAGTTGCAGCTGGAATAGAATTAGATTAGAGCTAGATCCACCCATAGTAGGATTCACTAAGCTAGATCCATTCATATTAGGTTTCTGGTAGATTTGGATCGAGCCCGAATTGGATGACATTAAAGTTTGATCCAGCTATAGAACGGATTTCATTGGAGCTTCATCGAGCACTCATATGGTTTTATCTAAGGGAGGGGGGGGGGCGGTTCGACCCCGCCCCCCCCCCCGGGAGAGGATGGGGGGAGGCCTGGTTCGTACCCCCCCTTTGGAAGGGTCCTCCCTCCTCGTTAGAGAGGCTGGTGTCCAGGGGTGGGGGGGGCGGGCCGCTCTCCGGGCGCTTCAACAAATGTTTTATGGGGTGGGGTGGGGCAGGTTCCGACGTGTCTAGGATTTTTCCTTTTAGCAAGCGTCCACGAAACGCGTTCTCTCCCGCCTGATTACGTCTTGAGCCCCCAACTTGTTCAGCCCGCTGAGGCCGGCTGCTGTCACTGAGGGTTGGTCTGTAGAGTGCTCGCAGGGCCTGTGCAAGACGTTCGGCATTGGGGCCACAAACGATGCCCGGGAAGTTCCTTTTTTCGAATCAGGCCATGCCATGCCCGACTCGACCCTTTTGGGTATTGATACTGGCTGTATGCTGCATGACAGCTGTGCGACGACCACCTGTGCTTGCTGGCATTACTGCTCCTGCAGAGCCCACCCCTCGGAATGTCCGAACTCACAGCATGTAGCACTTTTCCAAATGAGGGACCCCGCGTGCGAACGCGTGCGCTAAACCCATGGGTGCCGCCTATGTGCACTCACTTTTGAAACTAGTGTGTGTGTGTGTGTGTGTGTGTGCGGGGGTGGTGGCAAACTGTAATGACACATCATGTTCTCGCCTACGTGAAGTAATTTTGGCCTGCCTGACTGCTAGTCTATTGTCACTCCTCTATGTGGTCTGCGCCCTGGGGAGTATCCCGTAGATGTTGTAGAGCTCTGCGGTGCAGGCAGGGGGCGCCCCTGCGAGTGCGCTCGCGCTGATGCCGCAGTGTTTCGCCATCCCCTTAACCTCGCCCCCGCTCTGCGGCTAGGCTGCGACTTCTCCGCCTTCCGACATGTTCCGGCCGAGCAGGAGGAGGATGAAGAGGAGGAGGAGGAGGGGAAGAGGAGGAGGAGAGGAGGAGGCGGAAGAGGAGGAAGAGGGGGAGGAGGAGGAAGAGGAGGGGAGAAGGAGGAGGAGGAGTAGGAAGAGGAGGACGAGGAAGAGGAGGAGGATGAGGAGGATGAGGAGGACACGGAGGATACGGAGACTGAGGGGGAGGAGGGGAAGGACGGGAGGAAGAGGCGGAAGAGGAGGAGGATGAGGAGGAAGAGGAGGAGGAGGAGGAAGAGGAGGAGGAGGAGGGGGGAGGGAGAGCGGGAGAGGGATGGGGAGAAGGAATACCTAGCGTCACTCCTCACCGACAATGCTGTTACCTAGCCCGATGCTCGTGGGAGGAGGAGATGGGGGGGAGGAGGAGATTGAGGATGAGGAGAGGGAGGAGCAGGGGAAGGTGGAATGGGGGAGGAGGAGGGGCGAGAATAAGAAGATGGAGGGATGATGGGGGTTGAGCGAATGAGGACGGGGTAGCGGGCCCGTGCGTGCGCGCGCCTTGGCGGGCGACCTCCGTGGGCGGCGGCGCGGGAGGTCACCTGCCGGCAGAAGTGCGGCGGGCACGCCGACGCCGTCGAGAAGAGGGGCTGGGGTCTTGCGGGGCGCCCAGCGGTGGTGGCGAGCGGTGGTGGCGTCGATGGCGATGGTTTTCTTGATGGTGGTGGTGAGGATGGTGGTGGTGGCCATGGCGGTGGTGTTGATTGTGTTGGTGATGTGGTGGTGATGTTGGTGGTGGTGATGGCGGTGGTGGTGTTGATGGTGGTGATGTGGTGTTGGTGGTGGTGGTGATGGTGGTTGTGGTGGTGGTGGTGGTGGTGGTGTTGTGATGTGGTGGTGATATGGTGGTGACGTGGTGGTGATGTGGTGGTGGTGATGTGGCGCTGGTGGTCACATTGTGGTGGTGGAGAGTGGGGCAGGGGAGCGAGCAGAGGAGCGACCGGGGGAGGCGCAGAGCTTGCAGGCTTTGCGGTTGGGAGCTGCCACTGCCCGGGCGGACGGGCATCCGCGGCATTCGAGCAGTTTGCGGGGTGGGTGCGGATGACGAGGACGCGGCCCTGCCCCGTGCGGAGACTCGGGTCGGACGAAACGGGGGAGGTGGATCGGATCGGGGAGCGGGGAGGGGGGTGCGAACATTGCTGGTTTCAGCTTGCAAGGCCCCGCCGCTGGGCGCTGTCCTCCGTGCGTGGGCGCCTCCGGCGCCGGCAGGGCCAGCCGCTTGTGAGCTGACGCGCCAACCTACCTTTCCTGCCCCCTCCTTCTCAGAACCGGCAAGACAGCGGCGTGCGCCACGGGAGTGCGCGCGGACGGGAGGGGAGAGGACGGGCCGGGAGTGGAATGGGTAGGAAGGGTCAGGTGGGGGGGGGGGCAGGCGAGGGAACGGGGAAAGCGTGTGCTGGAGTGTGTACAGTCAACGCGCCTAGTCAGGACGCGCGCCTTCATTTAGGGTACCCTTGTGTCCTTGCCTCTGCGGCCCGTCCTTAGCCGTTTTCACTGGTCGCCCGCCGCCAGGAACATCCCACTTGCGGCCTCCGTCTTGACTGCAGAGAGGATCAGGGGGGGGTGGCGGGCGGGGGAATGGGGGAAGTGTGTGTGTGTGTGTGTGTGCGTGCGTGCGTGTGTGTGTGTGTGTGTGTGTGTGTGTGTGTGTGTGTATGTGTGTGTGTGTGTGTGTGTCTGTGTGTGTGCGGGTGGCTTGGTCGACTCAATATGGGTCCCACACGCTCTGAGCGGCCCGCCACGCGCGCGCGTACGCCCGTTCCATGACTTTCTCCGCCTCGACGCAGCGCGCGAGGCCGCGACCGCCACAAAGTGTGTGTGTGTGTGTGTGTGTGTGTCTGTGTGTGTGTGTGCGTACCCTATCTTATTTCTGCCCTCACCTCTACCGCTGCCCTTCCGATTCGCAAGGTGTTCACGCTACTGCTGCTGGTGATCTGTCGATGCGAGAGGAGATGCATTCATCGCCTCCATCCTGCGGATAAGTGGTAGGATGGGCCCACTCATCCTTCCCTCCCATTCGCAGGAAGGGGCAGAAGCAGGTCGACCCCCCCCCTGTACGGTAGGTTCATGTGGCGCTCGCGCGCTGGCGACGCCAGCGAAGGCATTCAAGGTTGAATTCTGCGATGCGGAAGCACCGAGGGACACGGCGACGCCACTGGGCCCGACGGAATTCGACCTTGAACGATCGGGCCGCGATCGATTCAAGGTTGAACGATCGACGCGGTGACAAAAGCGGACGAGTCTGCGACGCGCGAAGCGCGATTCTCTTCGCGCCTCTGGGGCTGACCTGGGGAGCTCAGCAGCCCCGACAACGTGCGAGGGATGCGCCGAAGCAGCGACCCACGGAGAGCAGAGGCGAGGAGAGGGCGACGGTCGCGGAAGGAGGAGGCAGTGTGTGGAGGAGGAGGAGGAGGAGGAGGATGGAGGAGGAGGAGGCAGGAGGAGGAGGAGGAGGAGGAGGAGGAGGAGGAGGAGGAGGAGGAGGAGGGAGGAGGAGGAGCAGGAGGAGAGGAGGAGGAGGAGGAGGAGGAGGAGGAGGTGGAGGAGGAGCAGGAGGAGGAGCAGGAGGAGGAGGAGGAGGAGGAGGAGGAGGAGGAGGAGGAGGAGGAGGAGGAGGAGGAAGAGGAGGAGGAGGAGGCGGGGGAGGAGGCGGGGGAGCGGGAGGAGGAGGGAGCAGCTGCGCGCCTCGGCGCCGCACGGACCCATCGTGCTGACCTCCCCTGGCGTCCGGCCCGGGGGGCTCCGGGAGGCCCCTGCGGGCCCTGCGCGTGGGGGGGGGCGCCCAGGGTCGTCTGGATCTCCGACACGGAGGTCGTGTCCGGCAGCACCGACGGCGAGGCGCCGATCGGGACGACGAGGGCGGCGACGGCGACGGCGACGACGACGACGGCGGCGACGTCGACGACGACAGGGGCGGCGCCGCCGACGACGACGGCGGCGGCGGCGGCGGCGGCGGCGGTGGCGGCGGAGACGACGACGACGACGTATCGAGAGTTTCGAGACTTTCGAGGTTTTCGAGACGAGCACTGTAGGCTCAGTTCTGGGCCTCCGACGGCCTCGGGAGACCTCCCTGGAACCCTCCAGGAGGCCTCGTGGGATTTCCAGGGGCCCTCGGGGAGGGTTATAAGTCGGCACAGGGGGATTTATTCCAAAATAGTCAAAAGATAGTCGGGACGATTTTTGATTATTTTTGGTCACTGTTTTCATATTTTTGCGTATTTCTTATGTTTCGTCCACCATCCGCCCGTAGGAGGACATGCCTGGGTGACCTAAGGGTAGGGCGAGGAGTGGGAGGATGTCTTGGGCGCGCTGGAGCGGCCGCGGGGCCCAGCCCATTCCTGGCACCCTCCCAGAGCTCGCCGTCTCTCCGAGATGGCAGGCTCATTCTCCTTCGAGCTTGTCCGTGCCCGGGTCCCGTCCCAGAGCTAAGTCGGGCCTGTCCCTCTACAGGAGTAGCAGTCGACAATAATAGAAAAAATAGTCTGGGGACGATTTGTTGACAATTGTTGGGTATTTGTATGCTTTTTTTTGTTTTCCTTAATTTTTGGCCCCGAATCCGCCTGTAGGTGGACAGGCCCGACCTAAAGCTTGTTCGTGCCCGGGTCCCGTCCTAGAGGGGAAGCGGGGAGGGGGGCAAGGAAGGAGGATGATGGTGGCATGCCATGGTCCGAGGCGGGGACTTCTCCATTACTACTGCCTGGGGGATCGATCTGCGTCGACCTCAGCATGCGCCCCTCGTGGGAAGGGACGCAGGTCCATATCCACCGCCTGCCGAGGCCCCCGAAGGTCGATCCCCCAGGCGGTGTGGTTGTGGATACGTTCCCGCCTCGCGTGAGGGGAGGAAGACAGGAAGGACCAGGGCAGGAGCGTGCCAGCGGATGGTGATAGTGATGATGGTGATGATGATGCTGCTGATGATGATGATGATGACGACGATGCGGCTCATGATGATGCTGATGCTGGTGTTGATGCTGTTGATGACGATGATGATGACGATGATGATGATGCTGATGATGATGACGATGATGATGTTGCTGACGATGATGATGCTGATGCTGCTGATGATGCTGCTGATGATGCTGATACTGCTCATGATCATGATGATGACGATGCGGCTGATGATGATGATGATGATGATGATGATGATGATGACTCTGATAATGCTGATGATGAAGAGGCTGGTGCTGATAATGATGCTGGTGCTGATGCTGACGATGATGCTGCTGCTGATGATGATGT